GAAGCAAGGGAGACCCCACTGTAGCAGATTGGAGATGTAAAACACAGTCATTGCACCGAGGTGTGTGCCTGGAATCCCAAAGGAACTCGGTTAATACTGTCTGGTACAGCTGATGCTGGTTTGGATTCACGTCTTCAGTTGTAAACAACAATCCTATCACTTGGACTGATCCGTCATTCCAATTTGGAAAATACTACACTTCATGAAGATGTATATTTATATATACAATCTGCAAAGCTATAGTCATGTACAGAATAACGAAGGTCTTATTTGTTGACCCCAATCTGCTTTAACAAATAAATGAATATGTGAATTCACCCGCAGCTACATTGTCCAAATCCCAGTCACACACAGCTACAGTAGCGTTGACTCAGTTGTTGTATCTTGAAAGCAAATTTATCAATAACCAACAAACCAACAACAGATTTAACATTTTTCAGTTGATTGGATTACAGCAAACCTGAATGAGGTGTTGTTAATTAAAAAATGGAAATCAATAGATATTTTCCCCAGGCTGCGCTTCAATTAGTTTAAACATGACTGTTGTTTGTATTTTAAGGGTAAAAAAGTATGATTACAAACTTGAAAAAAGTCTATTATGTAAATTTTCATCAACCATTATTTTTACAAAATTTCTTAAGAATATTTTAAGACCAAAACATAGGAAGTTCCTTTGATAATTTCCATGTAAGATGTGCGTTCCTTTCTTCAAGGCGTTGACAACCTCTGACCACACGAGGGCAATCCGCCTCCATCTGAGTCTCCGTGGTAACCAGTGGACTCTAAATGATGGATTCATCCATTCATTTTCATTTCAAATCATAACAAATATTTGTATTATTCAACCCTTCGAAGATGGAAACCAGGTTACGAATCAAAATCCCTACATTTTACAACACGGAATACTCACTGTATTTCTGGCTGAGATCTTTTGGGTTGTGAATGTCTAAATCTAACCCCCCCCCACACACACACATCTGTTGAGTTATTAGCATTGGCTGCAGGTAAATGTATTCAGGACTGACGGCTTTTTTTCTTACCGTGCATCTGACTTTCTTGAAGAGCAGATGGTGTTGTTTCCAAACCACCAATTAAGAAAAGGAAGTGTTCGTGTTCGGTTTGATCCGTTTCAGCCCCCTCAGAGCTCCGGTGGACATGTGTGGCCCGCTGAACAGATCCTGAACAGATCCTGAACAGATCCTGAACAGATCGGGAGTGACATTTGTCAGACGTGGATGGACTCGGGAGGGAAACCAAGTCCGCGGCCCTCACCATGCTAGCAGCCCTGCCGTGCCCCAACCTTCAGGTGGGCCCCGGACCGGAGGCTCTCCAGTAGGGTTGTCACGATACTAAAATTTTCAACTGGATACCGATACTCAGGAAAATACTCGATGCTCGGTACAATTTTCGATACCACAAGGATAAAAACAAAGACCCCAAAATTTAACTGAATTTTGACAGGTTAGTGTTTTTGGTTTCAAACTGACCTGTTACTGATGTTATGGTGGCCCACATTAATGACCCTAACCCTGAACCTAACCCTAACCCTCCACCCTTCATAGATGTGAAAAATAAACATTTTTTGGTTAAACTTGTTTGGACTTATTGTACAAACCTATTTAACATCCAATATTTTAACGTAATATTATGTATAGAGTTTAATTGTTTGAAAAATTAATTTTACTATTTTTAAATTAATGTCTATATTGCCATGAGGCAATTACGACTTTCTTGCCTGGAATCTTCCTATTGGTGACCTAATAAAAATGGCCGACTTGGATGTGGGCGGAGTTTGCAGCCAGACGTATATGATTAATGTTGGCGTGTTATTATTAGCCATTAGCCGCAGCTAGCAATTCAAGGCTAACGTCACGTTAATGATCATAAACAACGTAAATAAATACATAAATAAATCAGAGAGAAGGGGCCCGGTGGTATCGATACTTTTGAAAATGAGTATCGTATCCGGATACAACATTTTAGTATCGATACTTTTTTGAGTATCGATACTTTTGACAACCCTACTCTCCAGTTAATGTCTGAGGGGATTTTTTATTTATTTTTTTAGTGGCGTGTGCACCCAGAGACACTGTGTGTCGCGAACAGTGTGATATCTTGTTTGCCACTTGATGCATGAAATGAAGTTACAAGCCGAGAATCAATAACTCATCACGCTGATTTTAGCTTACTTCCCTCTCGCTGCTCTGCTGTATTTCTCTGATTTGGCAGCTCTCATGCAGAAATCTACTCCAGTGGGAAATAAATCCTTCCTCCCCGCATACTCCAGACTCAGTTTTTAATGTTTTTTAACTTTTTTTAGATAAGTCTTTAAATTAAGAATTGATTTATTTTAGCTTAAATGCTCCCTTAAAGTGTTTCCAAACGCTTCTCACTAACAAAGCCTCCCTTGGCAAAGCAATTTTGTTCATTATAGCACGGTACTGCTGCCATAATGCTGGACAGGACAAGGTAAAAAAAAAAGAAAAAAAAAAAGAGATATTCCCAGATTCATACAGAAATCTGTGTTGTTTCCCTGATTTATTCTAGCTTAAATGCTCCCTTAAAGTGTTTCCAAACATAAAAAGTAGAACTCCCAAATATATCAGACAGGTATTGAAGAGACTTTTCTTGTGTAGTTGAGTGTTTTTAACTGATATTTAAAAAACAGAAGAGCCAGGTTGGAACAAAATGCCCAATTTTCTGTCAATCGTGCACATGTACAGGTCAGAAACACGTCCTTTTTCCCCCCCTGTCTGATATGAATCTGGCCGATTGATATTCCCAGATTCATATGGTCTTGTTGTCTTTCTTTCTCCTTCTTTTTTTATTTTTATTTTTTTCTCCCCCCCTCTCTTTCTTTCTAAAGGATCTCTCTCCTTTCCACTACTCCTCCCTCCCCTCTGTCCCTCTGTCAGGTTCGGCATTATTGGACACGTGGAAGTTTGGTAACAAAAATGAATAAATAAAGAAGTTTTGGGTAATAAAGGGAGGATTCTCACTAACAAAGCCTCCCTTGGCAAAGCAATTTTGTTCATTATAGCACGGTACTGCTGCCATAATGCTGGACAGGACAAGGTAAAAAAAAAAGAAAAAAAAAAAGAGATATTCCCAGATTCATACAGAAATCTGTGTTGTTTCCCTGATTTATTCTAGCTTAAATGCTCCCTTAAAGTGTTTCCAAACATAAAAAAGTAGAACTCAGATATATCAGACAGGCATTGAAGAGACTTTTCTTGTGTAGTTGAGTGTTTTTAACTGATATTTAGAAAGCAGAAGAGCCAGGTTGGAACAAAATGCCCCATTTTCTGTCAATCATACACATGTACAGGTCACAAACACATCCTTATTTTCCCCCTGTCTAATATGAATCTGGGCGATAGATATTCCCAGATTCATACATAAATCTGTGTTGTTTCCCTTTAACTCCAGCAACCTTGAGCAAAAGTCCTCCTCCCGTAGTTAAGCGGCTGCTTGAAGGGCAGGCCGACGCGGATACGGTCCAGTGCCTTTATTGACCCGCCGAAAAAGCCGAACGTCTCCAGGGGGGCCGGGAGCTCAGGTTAGGGGTCTTTGTTGTCGGCGTTCATTAGTGTCTCCTTCACCGTGTCTCTCTCTTTTCTTTTTTATCCCTCTCCGAACATCCGAACACCTCCTATTCGGGCTCTCTCACTGTCTCCACTGCTCTTTCCCCCCCCCCCCCCCCCGGCCGGAGGGGGAAATGTCACTGAAGCATATTAGCTGGAGCCTCTAACCCTGTCTGTCTGCCTCCGTGTTTTCCTCAGAGTGACGGCATCGTGGAAGTTTCAAGAAGTTTACGGTACAAGTGTCAAACTTTGCCTTGCTCAGGTACGTTTTTCTGTGACCTCGGAGAAAATGGAGTTTTGGGTAGTTTGAGGTAGACAGAAATATTCGATATAGGCTCATTTGATTTCTATAAGAAGAAATTAACAGAAAAAATCTTAATTAGATAACCTATATAAGTCCAATTATAGATGTTTGTTGCAAAATGTCTGTCTTGCATAGAAGTATTTTAGGAAAAGTAATATTTTTTTCAATCACTGGTTTATATTTCGTGT